ATAATCATTAAATATGAATATTGTATTACTTCTATTTATTACTCTTTCTTTATCAAAACAGTGTAGTGAATATACTGAATTGATTGAACTAGATACGGCTGATAGTGTATTTGAATGTATTGAATCAATTAAAACCACAGAGGATGAAAATACTGAGATTATTGATTGAAATACTATTTAGAAGCATATGTATTTAAAGACATATTAAAAATCCACCACAACCATCATTTTCAAATAATTATTATGAGAAAGTGGATATTGATTCAGAATTAGATAAAATAAATACAAAAACAACAAGTCTGTATGAGTTTTACTCAGAAATAAAAAATCTTATTATTTCAACAAGAGATTCTCATTTAGATTTTAATATAGATTATGATACTCTTAAAAAACCAAATTCAGAGCTTGTTTATTTTATTTATTTACTTCCATTTACAATAAATATTGATAATGATAAGAAAATGTATTTAAATCCACTAAATCTAATTGCTATTTTTAATACTCCTGTTGTAGTTGATGTACCAGAAGAAATTGTAAATAATCAGAATGTACCAGTTAAAACAATAAATGGAGAAGATCCATTTAATATTATTCGAGAATTTGGAAAGAATTATTTAAGACTAAAATGTCTACATGCACAATTTACAGAAGCAAAATCAGCAATAATGTTTGGATCATTGGGTGAAATACCATTAACGAAAGAATATTTAAATACACCAATAACAATTACATGGGAAAATGGAGAAAGTCGAACAATTAATTATAAGATGGCAAAATTTAATCCAATGAATCAGAAATTCCAAGAAGCACTTGAAAGAAGTAAAAGAAGAGGAATAAGAATAGAAGAATCTGAAGAAGGAAATGAAAGAAAAAGAATAAAACAAGAAAATGATGAATATAAACCTAATTGTTCTGAATATAAAGAAGAAATATGTTGTTTAACAACAAGTAACAAAGTAAATACATTGATTGTAAATACTTTTAGTGCTATTTCTGATGGGTACTATTTTTTGGATAAATTAAGTGAATGTGTTGATAAGTTTGATTCACATGATTATCCCATTCAAGTAATATTCCCAAAAAATGGAGGAGGTTTGGTGCAACTTGCACAAACACTTGAGAAAGTATTATCACCATATGATGATGTTGATTATATACTTTCAGCAAGAATATCAGAACTTACAGAAGATATAATGAAAAAAGGATATGCTTTATATATGTATAACCCAGAAACATGTGAAAGCAGAAGAAGTTACTTAGAACTTATATTTTCTGATTTATTCCCACTTGGAGATTGGTATTCAAATCCAAGAATTATTAAATATGGAGATGTTGAACATAATGTTACACAGCCATCCAATTGTTAAATTGAAAGTAAAGAAGTTAATGGAAAAACCAAGAAAACCAACAGAAATAGTAGTTTATACAGATTCATATTGTTATTCAGCATGTTCATGGGTAACAAAAGGATTAAAAGAATGGGGAGGAGCTATTCTTGTATGATTTGATGGTGATCCATATGGAAAAGATGAAGAATTTGAAGTAGGATTATCACCATCTAATAATATTCCTAATATTAATGAAATAGATTCAAATAATGTTTTAAAACAATATGGATATCAGTTTGGATTAACTTATACAGAAACATACAGATTTAATTATAATTACAATGAAACAATTCCTAGAGAATTTATAACAGATATGATTGATGAAAGAGTGAATATTTATCAATTCTCAAACGATAATATAAAAGAATTTGAAGAAGAAACAAAGAAAATAGTAGAGAAATATAAAACGAAATGTAATCCAAAGAATAAAAGACTAGTTAAAAGAGATGAAAAATGTGATGAAGAAATTAATAAAAAGCATTGACATGGAGGATATGAATGTGGAGATAATGGAGAATGGAGTACAAAATGTGTATTGGCATATTGTGATTCAGGATATAAATTTGATTATATCAACAATAGATGTATTGAAGATGTATGTCTTTATCCACCAAATCCAAGCAATGAACAAGAGACATGAGAATAAAT